ATTGTTTAAAGGTAATTGCTGAAATAAATCGCAAGCATTCCACAGAATTCCAGTTGACATAAGGTGACCATAATTTTTTGCATTCATGTCTATAGGAGAATCTAGAAATGAATTTGCCAAAGCAGCCGAAGCATAAATAATATCACCAGTTGTGGATTTTATTTCATTAGTAAACGTTTTCCCTGCAGATAATGGCACGGATGCAATGTGACCATAAATATGAAATAAAGTTTCGCTTATCGCATTGATTGTAGATATTGCCGCTGAAGGAGTACAAGGAGGTTTACATGCAAGAGTCATCTTTATCAAAGTTAGCTTATGAGTTAATTTATTTTTTTAATTCATAATTTTTTTTTTAAATTATATGACATGATACCTTTGTAGCATCGTTAGCTAAAATTAACCCCAATTTTCCTGGATGAATTTATTTATAAATCAACTATAATATTGTAACGATAACGAAAATCTGAAATTATAATAAACAAACCAAGTTCATTTTTAATTATAGTGGCATCAAAATTTAGAGAATTTTGTAAAACTGGAGGATTTTTAATATCTTTTAGGCATCCAAGTAGCGTGTCTACTAAGCCACGTAATTTTGCTTGAACGTCTTTATCGTATTATAAAAATAAAAAAATTTACTGAACTGAAATCAATTGTATAAGAAAAAATACTGAATGGAAATAATTACCAGCATTACTAGCCATGTTAAAGATCTAAATTTAGTGAATAACAATGATGATGTGAATCTAGAAAGTCGATATCAGATTTAAACTTTGGAAGCATGTGATTTTATTCTGATTGGCAAACCTGTAGCGTTACTAATGGGACTATGAATATCCCGTTGATTATTCGGTGATTTAATGAATTAAGGTTTGAAAAAATAAAAAAAAAATTAAAAAAATCAAAATTATTTTATTTTTGCAAGTACTTTAATATCAGTCGATCCTAACATTAATTCTTTTAAGTATCGATTTGATAATAATATACAGTATATGAATGCCGCCAAGGGAAAACCTGTCATCGGGCTTTCAATTATATTTTGTACCGGACATATTCCCTAAAAAATAAAATAGATTTTGTTCGGTACAAAATATAATTGAAAGCCTGATGACAGGTTTTCCCTTGGCGGCACTCATATAGTATTTACCGACATTCGTTCTCCGACACTTCATTCCCCGAAACTTTATTTCCCAACACTTTTATTTTCCTGACATTTGTTAATCTAGGTACCGGTATTTAAAATAAGTTCCTAAACAATTTTCATTCTATTCGCGTTAATTTAAAAGTTAAGTATAAAAATTATTTACATTTAAATTTAAGAACCACATATATAAAGTGAATATGAAAATAATTTAAATATCATAACATAATACTTAATTTGAGGTATGTAATATGGCTTAATTTAAAATAAACAACATTTAACTAATTCAATATAGCAATTGGGATCAAATTCAGTTCGCAATCCAAGCAAATCTTTACATTAATCATCAAATTCGTATCCATTGAAAGTCTTTGTACAGTTGGCATCCCTGATCTAATGTCCAAAGTTATAAGTGTCAGTAGTGGTATAATTTTTTGACCTAATGAAACTTCGGAAACGGCAATAAGGCATCACTTCATAAATATCATCTGAATATTTTTAATCATACTTTAGAAAAATTTTAGGTCTGAAATGTGAGATTTCATATTTTTATTAATGTTATCATTATGGAGGTTTGCGTGAATATCTTGCGTCTTGAATATTATATAAATCTTCTAAAATATTTTAAATAGTTAAAAGTCAGGCAACCATCGACTGCATATTAAAAGGATCCATTTGTCCCGTGTAATGAATTAATCCATATACATTTTAGACATTACCATTCATTCTACGTGTAAAAATAAATTAGTTCAATATGCACTTAACGAGCTACTTTTTTCAAAACATTATGGTAATTTCCCTCAGTACCAGTTACCGCGAAATAGCGCGCAGGGGTGAAATTACAAATTTCTGCCTAATTTAAGCTTAATTCGGGCCAAACCTCTAAATAACGCCCATGCCCGTTATTTCGCGACAATACGGTAAGGTCTTGAGAGTAACGATACTAAATAGCATACATAAAATATTTTTTTTAAACGATACTCTCCAGCAAGGTTGTAGAAATTACAGAAAGGATCTCCTTCGCCAATTTTTTTTAATATTATCTAATCAATCAAATGGAATCCATTGAATAATAGCTTATAAACATCAGTAAATTTCAGTCTTTATTTCTACCCGTCCATCCTTGTGTTATCATGTTTAAGATCACTAATTGTGAGATCCCGAGTTCGTAAATCCTTGGGCAAATAGGACTTTAACGATTGGATCAAAATGTGTGTAGATTCTACATTTTCCATTTTAAGCGAATAAAATGAAATTAAATTGAATTTTGTACAGAAATAACAAATATTCGTGAATTTGAGTAGCTTATTTAAAGTGTTGGAGGAGATAAAATGAATGTCAGGGAGGTAGTGGTCAGGAAAATAAATGTAGTGAAAATGATATGGATTTCCTTGAATTCGGAAAATCAAATTACTGAATTAAATACTATTTATATTTTCATTATATGTGTTTATTAAATATAGATATAGATACAATGATGTATACAGAACATTTATAATTAAATTGTTTTTTAAATGTTTAGCAGCACACATTTTTATTTCATGATAATTAATCACAAGTTTGATCTTATACGCTATAGATAATTTTAAAACTAAAAAATTAATTTGTATTGCATAATTTCTCTTTGATATTAATTCCACTTTAAACTTGTCTTTGGCTTCTTATATGAGAAAATTTGTGATGCTGAAACTTGAATTCATAAAGATATATATTAAGTGTGCTTTTAAGTTTCAAAGGTATACAATTAAACCCTTAATACATATTCATTTCGTCAGGATGTAAAGATTCTTATGCTCTAAAGAAAGACGTACGTGCCATCTCTATTATGCGTAATTTATTTAGTAAGTTTCCGGTCAATGCAGCAATGCTAAATCGAGAAATTGGTATGAAAGAAAATTATTTCAATTTTTAGTTAATGGTGCCTAAAAAACCTTTTCCGGTTTAAATTTGCTAGGAGTTGTCTCCAAGCTTAAATGGAACTTATGCAATTCAAAGATTTTTCATTGTCGAAACAATGTATAATATTTGTACATTCTCACAAGCATACTGTAAATTCTCGTAATAGCGGACATCTGCGCGCTATTTCGTATATGCCCATGGGCGTTTTAAATATAGGCTAATTTTTTGAACTGCGTATTATAGGATCAATTGGGTTTTTAATAAATTAAACTATACAGTAGCATGATATTACCGTATTAATGTATAGGGGAGTGCGCGTTATATTGGGACACGCATACGGTATAAACAATCATACATTTTGTTATAGTTTAACTACCGATTGATGGGCCTAAAAATAGCATAGATCATGTCAATCTCTTCAGTAATAAATCTCATCTTATGAAATTGTGCTAATTAACGTTAAATTCTTGATATAACCAGTTCAAAAAAACAAAAAAAAAAAACGAGCTCGCAATGATAAATGTATCTTGCCAAATTATTTCAAACTGTACAAGAAATGTTAATATTCGATGTGTTAATAACTTTGTGTATACATCTTTAAGATTGATGCGATTCTATGGCTCAATACCTATGAAAACGCAAAGTTCAGGCAGTTAAAAATTCATAAATTTTAATGATTGTTTACAATCAAATATGTTAATTGACAAAATTAAAATCTTGTAATTTCATTTCTAAATATGATCTTATAAAATTAAATATTAAATAGCATCAAAAAAAGTTACGATAACAACTCTTCAAAGTCTTTATAAAAATAATGATCCTATAACAGTATTAACGGCTCATGATTATCCAAGCGGTTTATTTATTGAAAAAACGGGAATTGAAATTTGTTTGGTTGGTGATTCCTTAGGAATAGTCGCCCTGGGACGTCCAAGTGTTAATCAAACAACCATAGAGGTTGTTTTCCCTCTGTTTTTCATCTGTTCGATTATCGATTTCATCTATTGACTTTATTTGACACGATCTTTATTGTTTAGGAAATGCTTCATCATTGTAGGGCAGTATCAAGAGGTGTCAAAACTCCATTTCTAGTTGGTGATATGCCATTTTGAAGTTACGAAACTAGTCCTAAAGATGCGCTAAGAAATGCAGTTAGATTTATTAAAGAAGGAAATATGGAGGTTTGTTAAGTTTCTTTGTCGAATTTCCTCGAGTTAATTGCTCGATTTAACTTCAATTACAAAAAAGGTGATAAGATTAGAAGATGGATCTGAAATGGCGAAAACTATTCAACAAATCACAAGTATAGGAATCCCTATTTTAGGTCATATAGGTTTAACTCCACAACGTCAATCCTCGTTAGGTGGTTTTCGTGTTCAAGAAAAGACTGAGAAATAGGGTTCCTAGGTTCAGTTCAGTTCAGGTTCAGGTTTAATGAACCTGAACCTAAGCCTGAACATGAACCACAAATTTTGCAGATCATTGAACCTGAACCTGAACTAAACTTTGAATTTATAAACCTGAACTGAACCTGAACTTAAAGTTTTGGTTTAGTTCAGGTTCAGTTCAAAGTTCAGGTTCAGTAGTGGTTCAGTGATAAAATATAGTAAAATTTTTTTTATTGTCTTTAGAATTTTCAAATTTGGAATTTTTTAAAGAAATCTTTTTTCTTT